CCTCAAAATTTTTGACAAAACAATTTCTGTCGGAATTTTTGTGAGAACATATTTCCATAGAAATTTTGAACGGAAAACATTTTGTCAAAATTTTTGACGGAATTCTTTTTTCGTTTAAAACATTTGATGGAGAAAATCATTTTCGTCAAAACTTTTGATAAAAACTAAATTTCATCGAAAATTTTATCGGAGAAAAAATTTCGTCGCTTTTTGACGAAAAATATTTTGGCAAAATAATATTTTTGTGACAAAATTTTTGTCATTTGCAACGTAGAAATTTCGTCGAAAATATGATCTTTTTTAATATTGCGAAAAGTACATAAATAATTTTGTTATAAATTTTAAATTTAATTTAATTTGTAAAATTTAGTAATTATATTTATTTTAAAAATGAGGTAAAATGGTAAAAGTATCTCATTAACCCTCTATTTTCCTCCCTTATCATTTTTTAACTCCCAAACAAAAGAAGAGAATATCCTTTAATTTCCTTCCTTTCCTTCCCCTCCCTCTCCCTTGGATCCTTTTTCCACCCTTTTCCTCGAAACTCCCAAACAAAGTCTAGAGGAAGTAAAAGTCCATTGGAAATAAACTATAGAGAAAAATCATGGAAAGTAATAGAAAACCCCTTAACTGAACTGGATGGCGATCCCAAAACCTTTTAAATTCAGTTAAATGTTAAGGCTTAAAAGCTTAAGTTCGCATAAAAGTTGGCCTCATTGCGAACAATTTCGACTTACCAATCTTTCTTAAGAGGAGTTTCAGTTCTAGTTAAGATAGTGTAGTACATAGATGGGATTAAAGTATCTGCTGTAACTTTAAATAAATATACCTGCTGTGCACTTAAACTACACCGTTTTGCACTTAAACTACACTGTTTAGTCTTTTCTTAATTTAAACGAATCGTGCTTCCGACTTCCCCTCGTACATCGTTTTGCACTTAAATTTTGACTGTCAGAAATAGAAAGCCAAGTACCAGGTGGAATGTACATCATCAACAAGAAGGGGCCACATATTTGGTGGGTTGATCAGCACCTTTTCATTATGAAAATGCTCCACCGTCTGAATCTCCCAAAGATTCGATTGCAACACTTTCCATATGAGCAGGTAAAAAGAACTTTGGTTCACAACTTCACAGCTATAAATCAATTTCTCTTATTTCCCTTTTTTGGCTTCTCCTTTTTCATTATTTAACTCAGGTCATCAATGGAGGAAAATTTACTTCTGACGAAGATGCATTCTGCAGGGACGCCATTGTTGCAAAGAAGACAGAATATTTAAGTGCACGATAGGTAAGGAAGCGCAAGAAAAAAAGACAAAACGGTGTAGTTTAAGTGCACATCAGGTATATTTATCTAAAGTTACAGCAGAAACTTTAAACCCTACATAGATTGCTCCATTTTCTCTCAATTATCCGGTTGGCCCCACTTTCCATTTAATTTTTAAAATCTTTATTTATTTTTCCTTTAAAGAGAATATTATTTTTTTAGAAAGGATATTTTCCGTTTGAAAAAATTTGCATTTTAAATTAAGAATTGTAATGATGTGTAATTTATTTTTAAACTAGAGCGGATCCCAATCCCTACGATTGGTCAAATACCAAAGTTTTACTGTAAGATCTATATATTCATTAGAAAGATAATTTTATTGAAATTGTTTACATATAGAAAATTTTTATTCCCAAAACTTAAGAAAGATATCTTCACTTCATCTGTAATTTTACGTAATAACATGAGGTTATTTAAGAAATTAAAAAGAAATAAAGAATTTTGGTTAATCACATTCACTTCTGGTAAAATTGAAACTCCTTCACTCGCTTGTGAGAAAATAGGACTATCACATATTTCCAAAATTTGAGACTTTTTTTTTTTTGATAACATTAAGGGGCGAAGCTCCAAACAAAAACAAACTAACAACCAGAAACAAAAAATAACTATCCAGGGACTATATCCCTACAAGAGGAGATTCCCTGAAGATCGTGATCAAATAACTGAGCAAGGTGAAACGACATAACTCTATGACTCCAGAATCCAGTATCTTTGTGAAGAGCAGACTTGGCTAACCAATCAGCACAGGAATTAGCTTCTCTTGGAATATGAGAAAGCGTTACCTCCCAATCCTGACCAATGAGTGCTTGTATCTTAGCCACTATACGAGGCTGACAAGCTGCATTGCAATCAGCAAGCAAAGAGAATACTTCAGAAGCATCTCCTTCTAGTTCCACCTTCTTAAATCCCAGTTGCCAAACCAATTCCAGACCTTTTAGAGTTCCCCAAAGCTCCGCCATTAAAGGAGTGTAAGCACCAATATGATACTCAAAGCCTCCCAACCAAGAGCCATCATCAGATCTGATAATCCCACCACAAGCAGCCACCTCAGTATTCCTTTCAACTGCCCCATCAATATTAATCTTCACCCAATTTAACCTTGGAGGTTTCCATAAACTCATACGAGTTGGATGAATGCTAGTAGTAGCCATAGCCTTCCTACCCATGCAGTTACGAACTTCCTCTATATACATAGCAATTATGTGCGTTCCATGGGTTGGATGCTTGAAGTTAGTATCATGGACACTTTTGTTCCTCCATCCCCAAATGAACCAACAAGAGATAAAAAAGACATCACGCCAATCATCTGAATTACTTTGATTCCAAGCTTTTGAGATATTATTTTCAACCCAATCTCTAAGATCCAAGCTGTAGAATAAGCTTTGCCGATTAGCTGAAACCAGAGAATTCCAAACACTTCTAGCATGCTTACAATCTCTTAGAACATGGAGGTTTGTTTCCAACTCACCAGGACATATTTTACAATGACCAGATTCCCCACTCCATCTAGATGTGCGGTCTTTAGTAAGAAGGCGGCCATGCATTATGATCCACATACAAGATTTAACACGTTGAGGCCCATGCCATTTCCATATAGTAGTCCAAGAATTTTTCAACGGCATGAGAGGGAAACCAAGCATGTTATAATACGCGGTTTTAACTAAAGAGCAGCCAACCTTTTGATTTCTCCAAATAATGCGGTCATTTCCATCCGATGCGCTAGGAATGAGAGCAGCTTGGATCCTTGCAACAACTTGATCATTGAGATATTGACGAATATAGGGAAAGTTCCATTGACCAGTATTGCTGTTCACGAAGGCACTAACAAGGAGATTCAACTCCAAACTAGTTGGAGTACGAGTAGCCAGAGAGGCAAGACACTCAGTTAAACCCAACCAATTGTCTATCCAAAATAATGCATCATTACCGTCTCCAATCTCCCATTGCATTGCTTGAAGAAAAGATGGCCAAACACTACACAGATTTTTCCAGAAGTATGAGTCATATGCTTTATGATTTACTTCCCTCCGAAGATCCAAACCTCTCTTATATTTACTTGTTACAACTCGAACCCACAACGAATCGGGCGAAGTAAGTATCGTCCATGCAAGCTTGTGAAAGAAAGCCATATTTTGGACACGAAGGTTAATCACCCCTAAGCCACCCATGCTCTTAGGCTTGCAAATATTATCCCATGCAACCAGATGAGATCTCCTTTGACCATTTTTATCACCCCAAATAAAGGCACGCTGCAACTTCTCTATTTCATCACAAATGGCTACAGGAAGCAGACTGTGTTGCATTTGAAATATAGGAGTTGCTGAAATAACGGAGTTGGAAAGTGTAATTCGATCGGCAAAAGATAAGACCTGGTTACTCCAACCAGATAACTTGTGCCTAATTCTTGCAACAACATCAGCATAATGGTCTTTGGTTACTCGACCATGTTTCATCATTGACCCAAGATATCTCCCTATATTGTGAGTTTGCTTGAAGTCACACACATTTGTGATATCATCTGCAATGTGAGCATCTGTATTTTTCGAGAAAAAAATACTAGATTTCGGAATACTAACCTTTAGGCCAGACATTGAACTAAAAGTCTCCAAGCAATCCACTATAACTTTGATTTGATCTAGAGAAGCTTCTGCAAACAACATCAAATCATCAGCAAACATCAGATGGGCTATCTTAGGACCTTTTGATCCCACAGAGATTGGCTTCCATCTCTTATTGTCAACCACATCTTGAATGAGATGAGACAATTTTTCCATGGCTAGAACAAAAATGTAGGGAGATAAAGGATCACCCTGACGAACTCCTCTTGAAGGAAGGAAGTCACCTGCAATGGCTCCATTCCAAAGCACTGAGACCTTATCAGAGTTGATACAATTCATGATAATATTTGTGAACCAGTGTGGGATTTGAATTTCATCCAAAATTTTACGAACAAACTCCCAATTTAACATATCATAAGCCTTTTCCAAGTCGATTTTAATTACCATGAAACATTTTCTTCCTCTCATTCTACGCATTGAATGGATCAGCTCTTGGGTGATGATGATGTTGTCCTGGATATGTCGTTTAGGAACAAAACTAGCTTGGAAGGGAGACACCATCTCTTCCATTAGGGGCTTCATTCTGTTAACCAGAATTTTACTGAGGATTTTATAAATGACATTGCACAAAGAGATTGGTCTGAGCTGCTTAGCACTTTCAGGTCTCTTTACTTTTGGAATGAGGACCAGAAGAGTCGAGTTCACAAGGTGAATCAAATTGGGATTCTGAAACATCATGTTAACATCCTTAATAACATTAGTCTTAATAAGACTCCAATTCTTATGAAAAAAGGCAGCTGGAAAACCATCTTCCCCTGGAGCTTTTGACCCATTGATACTAAAAACAGCTTTTGAAATTTCGTCATCCGAAAGATTACGAGTCAGATAAGATAGCAGATCATCGTGCAGAAGGGGCCAAGTAGTCTTTGATTTCACCCAATCACGATTAAAGACTTCCTCACTAAACAAGTTGCTATAGAAATCTGTTACCAATTGATGAAGTTGTCTAGCTTCCTTCACCCAAATCCCATCAGAATTTTTTAACTCAAGAATCCTATTCGATTCGAGTAGCTGTTTTAATGTGATAGAATTTGGTGTTTCTATCCCCATCATTTATCTATTTCACCCTGGCTTTTTGAAACCATAAGATCTCTTCTTGTATGAGAACCGCATCAAGGTCCTTCCTAACCTCTTTTTCTCTAGATTGGAGAGATAAGTTGGTATGATAATCAACATGATTCTGAATTTCTGCAATACTATGCAATAGGTTAGTCTTCCTATTGAAAATGTTGCCAAAGACTATCTTGTTCCATCTTTTTAAATTTGGAGTCAGATCATGCAGATTCGTTCTAGTGTCTTTCACAACATTCCAGCTCCTAGCCAGAAACTGAGTAAAGTTATAATGCTCCATCCAAGCAATCTCAAAGCGAAAGGGACGATTTTTCCAACCTGTGTCCAAGTTAGACAAGTAGACCAAAATGGGACTATGATCAGAATAAATCCGTGGAAGTACATTAACGCCAGCATCAGTAAAGGTAGTCTTCCAACTTGCATTAGCACAGGCTCGATCCAGCCTCTTAAAAACACGATCAAGATGAAGAAACTTCGGACCCTTCCATGTAAACCAAGGACCTGATCCTCCAAGATCCAGCAGCTTGCAATTATGAAGAACATTTGCAAAATTGGAACATCTGTTTAAGTTAACTCTACAGCCACCTTTCTTCTCATCCCGATTTGCTATTTCATTAAAATCCCCAGCCACCAACCACGGCCTATTACAATGGATACTAATGTTTAGCAGATCATCCCATAGCTCCTTTCTATTTTCTTCCCTAGGACTCGCATAAACTGCCGTGCAAGAAAAGGAAGGAACATGAAAATTCTGAACTTTAAAATGAACAAACTGTTTTGTGTGATTAACAATTTCAACGAGACCAGTCTCATCATTCCAGAGGATCCAAATACCCCCTGAGTAACCTTCTGCCTCTTGAACAAAAGCATGCTTAAACCCAGATTTTCGGATAATGTCAGAAGCTTTTTGACCACTACACCGAGGTTCTAGAATCACTACAATACTAGGCTTATATTTCCTAGTAAACAGAAAAAGCGATTTTTGAAACTGGGGTTTCACTGCTCCCCTACAGTTCCAGAAGAATAAATTCATTAAAAACTATGTTGAATGCAAGACTCCAAGGTTCTTGCATCCTTCATTCTTGAAATATCTTCCTGGTGAACTCTGTCCACCTCCATGCACGTAGAGATGGTTGAGGTTTCAGGATTTTGGATGTCGCTGCTGTTGTCAATTAATATATCAGGACCAGTTTTATGAAATGTGTCATATAACTGCTCTTGATTCTGGTTCAAAGTGCTATCTGCTCTCATCCCATTTTCCTGATCATGTTGATTTGCTTGCATAGGACTAACCGCCATGGGAGTAGCAATTGATGGAGATGGTGGAATGGGAGTATGATCTTCACGATTTTCACTCTGGACTGGACACCTCTTACCCGTGCTTGAAGAATGAGCCGCATGCATAGTAGGAACCGTTGATTTAGTCCTAGGGGTATCTTTGGACTTTTTGGATTTAGTCCATATTTTCTGAGGAATTTCAAACTGAGGGGCCCCCATATGAGGAGTAACAGAATTAATTATTTGATTATGATCCTCCTCATTAATAGGTCCAGCTGTTAATATTGCAAACCGTGATTGCGTAATTTCCTCCTTATCACCATGATTATCTCCATGATTATCGCTGGTCATAACTCCCTTATTACCATGATTACCATGATTATCGCTGGTCATAACTCCCTTATTACCATGATTACCATGATTATCGCTGGTCATAACTCTCTTATCACCATGATTATCTCCATGATTATCGCTGGTCATAACTCCCTTATCATTATTCCTTTGTAACGTTTTTGAACTAGCGTCTGGCTGGACTGCACCGGCCGTCTGAGGAGGTTGCCGGCTCCTGCGTTGACGGTTAACAACCATCCAAGGTCCCAATCCTTTGCTTCGATGGAATTCTGAGTTGCCAGGTTCCTCTTGATGAATTTGATCGTCATTATGAATATCGGATGAACTGCGTTGCTTTGGATCAGCTGAACAATTCTCGGTGCTATGTCCATATTTCCCACAACCAAAACAAATGAGCCCTAATCCTTCATACTCAATTTGTTTGGTAAATCCTTCCAGCACATAATCACCCTTTAATGGCTGAGATAGGTCCAGTTCCACACATATTCTTGCAAACCGTCCTCTTACATGAGCATTTGTATTGCTGTCTACCTTGATCATCTTGCCTAACCAGTTTCCAATCCTTCTAAAAAAAGCTTCATCATAGAATTCAATGGGAATATCCGGTAGACGAATCCAAGCAGCAATCTTAGCAATTCCAGCACTATTAGGTTTGAAAGTTGGTTCCCACTTCCTCAACGATAAATAATGACCCAAAACAATCCATGGACCACCGTTCAACGCAAAATTGAGATCATCCTTCTCACTAAACTGGACTACGAAAAAGTCATTACCAATATCAGTGACATTGATTTTGCCTTTTCTAGCCCATAAGACATTTATTTTTTTCTTCATAAACTCCACCGCAATTTTCTTCCCAAGGAGTTTAACAATCAGAGCTTTCTCCCAAGGTTTCCTCATTCTCTTCCTTGCTCTTTTGGTGCAACTAAAATAAGTACGCCCATCATCTTCCTCCCACATCTTAATTCCTCCATGGTTGACATCCTTTTCCTCAGCAGGTTCCTCCCCATCTGAGTCTTCCTCGGCAGACGCCTCTCCTTCCCATTCATCATCTTCTCCATTATGACGCATCAGAATTTCCCTCCAGGTTGAACGTTGGCCATTCTCATCTTCCATCCAACCTTCATGTCTAGGTATCATAGATACATCATTTGAAAACTGATCTCCCTCACCTTTATTCCTCTTATTACTTCTTTGAAGAATGTCAAGTTCTTCACTTGATTTGCCAGGATTCTTCCCATGATCACCTTTCTCTCTCTCACTCATCGCTCACCAATCTTCCACTGACCATAAAATTTGAGACTTTATTCTCATTGTTAGGTTATCTGAGTCTTTACATTTTATTTATTTATTATTATTATTATTATTTTATAAAAAAAATGATTAGTATACACCATAGCATTATCGTTTATAATTTTTTTTAATCATTTACTTGTGACATGGAACCCATTTGGATGGGCTTCTTGCTATAAGTGGGTATTTGGATAATAGCTTTTAAAAGAAGCATAAGTTAAAAGAAATTGAATTTTTTTTAAAAAAAATTGGCTTACCAAAAAAAATAAAAAATCAAAGGTCAAATATTTTTTTATTTCAAGATTCAAATTTACCCTAATTGCAACCTCAACCAGCCTCGTCACAATCATCATCGTCACCATGGCCATTCCCATCACCACACTACCACCTCCACAATCAGAGGTGGCAAAGCAGGTGGCCGGCCTTCCCTGTCATCAATCAGTTAAAAAATGAGTCAGTCATTCGCTTTTGAGAGTGGGCTGAAAAACTCAGCCTCCCATCGGATCGAACTTGTTTTTATTATTTGTTTTACTTTTTTTTTAATAATTTTATGCATACAAAATATTTTTTAAATTTAACATCCAAATAATTAAATTAATTAGAGTAAATACCCTTTTTGGTCCCTAGCAATATTAGCGAAATCCATTTTAGTCCCTGACAATATAAAAGTACCAAATTGGTCCCTAAAGTTATGAAAAAAGGGCCATGTTAGTCCTTCTGTCAACTCCTCCGTCACGGTCAAACTAACGGTGCTCATGTGGCACGTTATCTACTGACGCGGACTCCACGGTGGACAGGGTGGAAAGCTGGACGACGACGGTGGACACCCATGGAAAGCACGACGTCGTTTTACTTGAATGCAATTAATTGATAAAACCCAAATAATGAACCCTAAAATTGAAAAAAACCCAAATGCCTTCAATCGAACCCTAAACCGGAAAATTTATCCCCCAAATTGATGAGCAAATTTGTAAACAGCAAAACGCCGCCAGAAAGTTTGCACTTTGATGATTGAAACTCGACGAAAGACATTAAGCCATCAACCGGATTTCTGGGCGTGGGAGAAGATGAGTGTTTCTTCTGGCATGGGGGGGTCAAGTGGGAGTAAATCAATGGGGGGAAGAACAATGGCAAGGACCACTGGTTGGAGGTGCAAATGTGGGAGACAAAGTATTGTCTATACCTCCAAAACTGAGAGGAACCCAAACAGGGCTTTCCTTGGGTGTCCTAACTTCAAGGTACGAATTTGTAATCTACCCCTTTATTGAGTTGGAAAACTTGCTAACCATGGTGTTTATTTTTTTCAGGTGAAGAAGCCCTATTGTAATTTTTTTAGATGGGTAGATGACATGTGTAATGAACCCATGGAACTGGAAGAAGCAAGAATTCACACTGTGGAGTTGGATGTTGCTGAAATGAACTTCAAGTTGAAGTATGTGGAGATGATGATGAGAGAGCAAGATGTGAAGATTACTGAGCAAGGAATGAAGCTTCATCAGCAGGAAAGAAAACTGAATGATGTATACCTAAAGATGGTGGAGGAGTTAGATAGGATGGACAAAAAAATTAGGACAGTTGATAGGTCAGCTAGGGTCTTAGGTGCTTGTGTTGGTGTGATCATGATCTGTATGTTTGTTGTTAGTGTGGTAAAAGTGAAAACAAGTGACCCAAATGTATTTTTGCTTCAGTGAATTGTAATGAGACTCCTTCCTGTTGTTATACAAATTATGTTAGTTCAAATCTGTTTGTGTGTATTATCATATGGCCTATTATTAAAAAGTCTTGAATGTATTCCTTAATATATTATGGCATTATATATTATTGCATAGTTAGGCATCGATTGAAGGATAAAAGATTGCTACATTGTATCACAAACAGATATAGATGGCTACTGATATAGACACATAACTCATGACATTGCTGATACAGAAGTTGCATACTGTTATGCATATTTTGTTACTGATTGCAAAACACGAGGACCAATTAGGTCCCTGGCAATGTTACTCGAGGGTCGTTTTGGTCCCTGACTAAGTACACGGGGCACTTATTGGTCCCTGATTCCAGAATTATAGGACATGAGTTGTTGATGTCCAAATCAACAAAATGCAGCACTCATTTTAAAAAACAGTAGTGCATTACATCAGATACACTTGTTGTCCCTGACTTATATGCTTTTGAATGCAGTCCAGATCAACAAAATAAAAGTGCATGATATCAGAAATGCAGCATGTAGGGGTCCAAATTGGTCCCTGACAATGATTGTCGGGGTCCTAATTGGTCCCTGCATCCAGAAAATTGGACATGATCTGTTTAATCAGTAACACAGCACAAACCTGCACCAGAATGCAAATATGACAGCTAAATGACCAACAATAAGCTAACTCAGTTAAGAAACATAAAATGGACATGAACTTATCACATTCATCAACCCTGCCACATAACATGCATGTCCAGAATATAACCAGTTACATATAATTGTCTTCCTACAACTAGAAACCAGTAGTGCATTACAAATAAAAGCCAACTGATAGAAATTACAAGTGAGGCCTATAAATACAATCTTGGCCATGCATCAAAATGATTACATTATATCTGTAAAAGGCCTCAAAAAAAAATGGCCAGAATGTACAAAAAAAGGGCATTATATCCATTCCTTTTCAGTTGGCTCATGCACTACTCCCTTGTTCGTCTTCATCAGCAGCTCATTTTCTTAAGGATCGCCTCGGTGGCATGAAACCAGGTGTTGTCATGAAGTGCATAAATCTGCTTCGTGTGCCAGTGTTGGCTGCCTTAATTGTCTCTTCAGTCAACACTGCATTTGCTTCTTCTGGATTTGAAGGAGGTGAGCTGCATCCTCTCAAGTTGATTTGTTGTGCCTGAGAACTACCAAATCAGGTAAGTCAACCACTTTTCCATTTATATAGGTTAGGACCCCTTTATCATCTCTCTTCAACACACCCCCATGATGATACCTTATCACTATGTATTCATCCATCTGGAAAAAAAGCAACACAGGGCTGTAAATTACAATATATTCATGCGAACATCAGGGGCCACAAACCAATTTAAAAAATGGCAATAACCATGTACATCAAACTCATCACTGCCGAGAGGGGGGACAAGCCAATAACGTGGAAAAAAATTGCACCTTTACAAATTATGCATGCTCTAAAAAATTGGTGACCACAATGCACTAAAAAATGGCAATATACTTTACAAACTGGTAGTGAAGGGGACCACATACATAAATGGGTATTTTTTTTTAACCCTAACCATGATAACTCACAATGGAGCGCACATGGGGGACCATTCTCCAACAAAGAATAGACAACATCAGGTGATGGGGGACCACAAATATTGAAGATTTCCTAAAAAAACACTTACCTTACTGCATGTAAGAAAACCAGCACACTCGAACTTCCCTTAACCACCACAGGACCAGCCTTTCGACAACCTTCAGGGTGTGTTTGGTACAGGAGAAATTTTTTGGTGACCGGGAATCATGATTAATGGGAATTCAGTAGAAATTGAGTTTACTTGGAATCTTACGAAAGATGTGTTTGGTTCGCCAAAATATTACCGGGAATATTGGGTAAAAATTACTGATTCCATATTTGGTTTAGAACGAAATATGACTTGGAATATGAGGTTATTTTACAAAAATAACCCCAAACTATTTTTACTTTTGTAATTGATAGATTGGGTCTAGATTTTTATGTGTATTGGGGTATTTTTGTCTCAAAATTTATTGTTGTGCTTTCCTTTACTTGGTATTCTGATTGGTATTCCAAATTACCATATTATTTTTGGTAATCTGAATAGTGACTTTTCTTTATAAATCAAATTACCGATAATCCTTGGATATCCGGGAATCGTAATTTATTCCTTCTACCAAACGTGGTAATTACATTTACCAAAGAAGGATTACCGGTAATCATCTCCAAAAACTTGAACCAAACACCCCCTCAAAGTCCACGCTCGATTGCCTTCCCTGCAACCACCGTCTTCGACAACCCTCACCGTTCAACGAAGCTTCCAGTGGAGGTCAACAATGGTCTTCCAATCATATGCAATAACTTAGTGAAAAAAACGAGTCTCCACGGTTACTTGCAGTGTTGGTGCCTCTTCATTTCTGAAGAATAAAACGACGTCGTTTGGTCCTTTGGAAAGCTTTGCAATCCTTTTGATTCAAAATGTCGTCGTCCAGCTTTCCACCGTGTCCACCGTGGAGTCCGCGTCAGCAGATAACGTGCCACATGGGCACCGTTAGTTTGACCGTGACGGAGGAGTTGACAGAAGGACTAACGTGGCCCTTTTTTCATAACTTTAGGGACCAATTTGGTACTTTTATATTGTCATGGACTAAAATGGATTTCGCTAATATTGCTAGGGACCAAAAAGGGTATTTACTCAATTAATTAAATTTTTTTTCACATTATACATCCAAATACAAAATAATTTTACCTTTTAAAAAATAAGATATTTCAAATTCTTTTTTCAAAAGCCGCCGCATCAATAAATTAGGAAGGATTAAGGTGACTTGATCCAAAATCAGGGCAGAAGGATCCTACTTGTGCTCAAGATAGATCTATTGGGCCTTAAAAGATTAAACTGGGCTTATTATAAGTTGGTGACTCGTTGAGAATGCAAATGGGTTTCCAATAAGCCCAGGGTTAAACACCAAAACCTTAAGGGGTGTTTGGTATGAGTATTTTAGTTGGAATGATGAAAAAGTGAGGTGAGAAAAATTTATTTACTATGTTTGGTACGAGGAAAGTGAACAAAACAACAATTTTTATTCCTCCATCATTTCCCATTTCAACTACACAAAACTAAAAAACTATCCCACCCAGGGCATGGTATTTATTTTTTCCCATTAACTCGAATTCTGAAGAAAACATTTTGAGACCAAAATACCCTGCTGGAGATTGGTACTCGGAGGCTGGAGATCAGCAAGAACCACAACCACAAAT